AAGCACTCATTGTGCCAACCCAAGTCCACCATTATTTATTTATATACAATATTTACATAGACAAAATATTGTGATTTTTACAAGAATGTTAACCTTCTATTAAAATAAATCTCCAATCTGTACATATATTTTGTTTGTATCTCTAAAATAAATGCTAGGGAAGCTTTTCCAACTATGTGGTGGTAAGACCAGGTTTAACACTGTAAAAGATGCATTTACTACAATGCTTGCCTGAAGAAGAAAAAAATGGGTCTTATATTAATTTTGTTGTTGTTGTTGCTATCATACCTATTAGGGCTTTTATTAGTGGCATGCCTTATTTTGACCTGAACATCAGTGATGGATCTGCATTTATATCATTATTTATTGAAAGCCTTAATGTCAATAATATTATTTATATTTTAAACAATACATTCATTACTTTATAACTAAATTCCACTGTGTGTTTCAACAAATGAATGAAATCCATCTGTCTTTCTATACTTGGCTAGGAAAACTAGAGTTCTGCAACAGAGTGCCCATGGAGACAATATTTCAGTACCACTAAAGTAAAAGATCCTTGTCACACCAATGAATTTTCAGGTACATGGTGCTAAACTCATCTTTTTATAGATTAAATGGTACATGATGGGTGATGTGGTCAATATCACACTGGTTGCCTTCACCTCCCAGGTCATTTCCTGGTACATATTTTAAGCTGAGTTAACATGGGTTCCTGAAAACAATTATTTAAAAATCTGACTCAATGCGGATTTAAAGACTAGACCTTCGGGCTGATGGGTAAACAGCCATTGTGGTTTGAGGTTTTACAACGGATCAACATCATGGCACATGGGTGTAACCCATAAGTGCTCCGTTCTTCTTCTAACTCAAGCCTGAGTCCAAAGAAACTCAGCACAGTGCGCAGGTTCTGTAGTACCGGCGGGGATTCCGAAATACTTTGGGTGATTTTTAACTCCAAATGTTTGCCCGGGCAGCGCCTTTAGGCTACTCTTTCCAATTTCCAACTACCAAGGGATTTGTTACGTGCGCACACGGGCGTCTGATCTCACTACCCAGAGACCGGTGGAATAACTAGAAGTCCAAGTCCACGTGAAAAAATCACAGCCCTTACCGGGGATTAAACCCGGAACCTCTGGCACTTGATGCGGACACCATACCTGGAGACCATGCAGACCCTTGCGAGACCTCAAGACCACGCAGACCCTTGTGAGACCTCAAGACCATGCAGACCATTGTGAGACCTCAAGACCATGCAGACCCTTGTGAGACCTCAAGACCATGCAGACCCTTGTGAGACCCCAAGACCACGCAGACCCTTGTGATTTCCTTTCAGTATCAGGACTAGGGAGAAAACAAAACCCTTCAGTGTTACTCTGATAGGTACAAGCCAAATTTACGACCCAGGTCACTTGAACATCAAGGTATAAGTTCTTCTTAATGTTCACTGGCTGTAAACTCAAAGTGGAAAGTCCAGCTTGTTCACCCACTTCTGGACTTTGGTCTTGTTCCAGAACTTGAGTTGTGCATGCACATCCGTTTTACAGACTTAGTTTATCTGTAGGCAGAATGTTGGTTCCTTGCCTCTCAGGCAGTTGTACTCCGACTTCAAAGTAAACAGCTCTACTTAAGTGCCTTGTACAACATTTTTGTTAGGGAGGCAAAGGGTCTATTCTTTTCTCTCCAAAAGTGGGGCCACAAAACTCACATGAGAAACATCAAAGTATACGTTCTTCTTACAGTTTAACCCCTACATTAACATAATCTCTCTCCTGATTTAATTTTAACAATCTTCAATGTTCGATTCTTGCAATGGGTGGTTTAGAAAGAGACCATTCTCGTGGCTTTCATAGTGGCATAAGAATCACACCATGGAAGAGACTAGAGCCTCACAATGTAACATTCCCATAGTAAGCAGTAGATGCACTGCAGCAACTTTCACTGTGAAAGACAGCACAATATTAGTTTCTGGGTTTTTTTAAATTCAGCATTGCCCACTGGTGCTAAGCATGAAGCTAAGATATTCAGTCTCTGACTTCAGTTTTTTCTCTACTGATGGTGATTTTAGGTGACAGGTAGTTTTAAATGGCTATTATCAATATGAAATTGTAGTGCCCCAGAACAACATACACATTATACATGTAGAGAAATACATTATTCTGCAATTATAATACAAATATGTGTATTTAAACATAAGTGGTAAGGAATAATTTATAACATTGATCACATTAGGTGTAGTAAAATTATCACATAAAGTGTGGTAAATCTATCATATTTGGCATTTAAATACATTGTTTAAATACAGATTACTGTCACTTACTCTGCTGATAAGCATAAGCAGCTGCGTTTCACCATCTCACATGATCACTAGAATAATGTATCAGATTAGTGCTTTTGTCTGGCCATACATAAGGCCAAGCTTATCTCTTTAGCTTCCTTCTGCTCTCTTTCCAACTATCTTGCCAGTGGTCACCAAGTTTCTGAGTCAATTTTTTATTATAAATGACTTTAAACAAAAAATTACATGTCTTCTTCTTTTTCAGCAGTCCGAGCCCTTGAGGTTTATTGCTGCAGATATCAACCGCCTCCACTCATCTCTCTGGTTGATCTTTTCTTTCCAACTAGTAACACCAAGTGTTTGCAGGTCTCTCTAAAATTATCTCTCCATCGTCTTCTTGGTCTGCTTCGTGGTCGATGACCATTTATCTCCCTTGTGTATAGTTTTTGACTCTCTGTCATCTGATATTCTCTCAGTATGCCTCAGCCATTCCAACCTATAAGCTCTCATGATGCCAATGATCAATGGTGATTTAAACAGATTATGAATTTTGTTGTTTCCATTTCAATGTCTAATTTCTCATAATGATCAATGGTGATTTAAACAGATTATGAATTTTGTTGTTTCCATTTCAATGTCTAATTTCTCTAATTTATTTATGATTTTCACCTATCTCAATTTTAATTTCAGATGTGTTTTATTATAAAGAGAAAATTACACAAGAATATTTAAGAGCCAATTTTAATACAATGAGAAATGGCATTCCAGGATAGGAATGACAAATTTCTGGTTTTGATTTCCAAAGGGTCGCCTTTGTGCCCAACAAGTATCGCCATTAAATGCTCTAGTCTCCTCTCATAGATCATACCAGAAGAACTTCAGTACAGTGCACCAATACTACGGTACCTTTGAGGGTCCAAAGTGTGTACAGATGAACCACACCGGCAATTAATACTTGTTTGTTTTGTTGTTGCTGTAGTAAAAGCTTGTTCCTTCTTTTCTACATTTTGCAAAATCTATGGACAATTGTATGGCAATGAAAAGATGACAAGCCTAGTACAAAATATATACCACTGAAACTTATGTTAAAGCAGCTGTATTGCATAGCTGAGATATCTGCGAAAACACTAAAATAATAAATTCTACAATGTCACAATTATTTCTTGCAAAGAATTGTAGTTTAAAATGATTGTATGATGAAATCATCCGTAAAAAACTTCTGGGATGAAATATGTGATTGTTCAGTAAAATGAAAGACAAAGCAAGGTGTTCTATGTGCATGTAGATCTCACACTTATGAAACCAGGATTAACACACTGAGGCACCCTATGTTCTAAGAATCTAAAGGGTTAAATAAATAAGGTGAACAAAAATACATTTCGAGAGGGAGCTGGAAAGATGCATAAGTAGATATAAAGATACTAAAAACACAGCTGCAAAAGTAGCAATCAATAAATAGAGATTGTATTATATATATTGTTGAGGGACATGTTCTGTAGCAGGTCACAGTAACCTTTTAGTAATTTATATGTCAAAGTAATTTTGTAAAGCACTCATTGTGCCAACCCAAGTCCACCATTATTTACTTACATACAATATTTACATAGACAAAATAATTTGATCTTTAAAAGAATGTTAACCTTCTATTAAAATGTTTAGCATGCCACTGAAAACCATTTCATGTGCAACAGTAGGCATGTGAGTCATAGGTTGCTATCTTGGTCTGTAGACAGCCAAGGAAGAGAAGACGACAACAATTTCCATTACTTCAATGTACATCATATCTTCTGGTGCCTCACATAATTTTGCTATCAAGGTAACAAGAATTTATCTACTCGAAAATGAGTACTACTCAAAATATACGTTAATACCACATATAATCTTGATATCTTTTGTTCTTTCAGATTTCAGTTATGAGTGCCAGTTTGTTTATACAAATATAGGTCCAGCACCACGTAGCAGCCTGTGTGCAACAACAAATCTGTCATAACTGTTGCTTCCATTGAGAATGAACTGCATTTCTAGTGTCAGACTTCTTGTGTTGGCACATATGATAGCTGCCTCATGCATTTAATGCACATATGTTATGGGATTTTCTCAGTCTGCGATATGTGTCAATTGTTTAAGCTGGGACAGTGATGACATTCTGTGTGGTTTTTGTTGGCACAGGAGCGGAGCATCTATGGGGTGACCCCGGGCGATGAAGTTAGAAGTGCAATATCCTGATTAGCACCTAAATCAGTGTACATGAGGTCAGGTGTTTTTATTATTAGCCCACAAACATAATACGTATGACAGGATTTGAAGGTTGAATGCTTACTGAAAAGTATGAAAAGGACAGTACCCGGACAACAGTATCATCACACTTCAAAGTCTTGAATAAAATATCTCAGCATAAGGTATGAACTGTTTGTTATCTCACATTATATATCACATACTGCTAGTGGAAGAATTTATGGAATCACCCAAGAACAATACTCTTTTGCAAACTGCTAGCACATAAATTTATCAGTCCTCAATAGCATAAAAGATACCATCAGAGAACTTTGCAAAGACATGAGCCACAACTCTTGAAGTTCAATTACTTTTGTCTCTGGAATGTTAACTTGGAAACAAATGACAGAAGCTTTCAACTGAAAAAAACATGCAACCAACCCGACTGCTATCTAAGGCTCATGCATCCATCGGTGAACTGTACCGATAATGTCTTGGTTATCAGCAATTACTTTGAATCAGACATTCCCCAAGAGTAATATTTACACTTCTTCAGTTCAATTCTGAATCCCATAATTTCAGTCATTTCATCTTCCAGCTGACGATGCAGCCCTCGCCCATCTCGGAGATACACCCACTGTCCATCAAAATAGTCGTAACGCTTGGGTCCACTGACAATAAAAGAAAAACAATAATGTTACAAACACCTTAACAGAATATAAACAAAACAGACAACTTTATTGCAACTGCTACAATTTTCACACATGTAGATTGTGATGTTTTAGAAACAAAAAAAAAAAAAAAAAAGACAGGTGAAGGTAATCTGTAGGCTGATAATGCTAATGAGTTTGTATGTTTTAGGCCTTTACAAATAATAGATCATTACTTTAGATGTGGGTGCTGTCTTGGCACATCAACTATGTGCTCTTGGGTTTTACTCTGTTCTGAGTCAGATTTTTACCACAAATGACTTTGACACCATGGTAGGACCCAGCACAAAAATGGTTACCAGGTAAAACCCAGTAGGATGCTGCCCACATCACCAACTGAGTGCTGATTGGTCGATAACCCGGTAGGATGCTGCCCACATCACCAACTGAGTTCTGATTGGTCAATAACCCGGTAGGAGGCTGCCCATCACCGAGTGCTGATTGGTCGATAACCCGGTAGGATGCTGCCCACATCACCAACTGAGTTCTGATTGGTCAATAACCCGGTAGGAGGCTGCCCACATCACCGAGTGCTGATTGGTCAATATCCCGGTAGGATGCTGCCCACATCACCAACTGAGTGCTGATTGGTCGATAACCCGGTAGGATGCTGCCCACATCACCAACTGAGTGCTGATTTGTCGATAACCCGGTAGGATGCTGCCCACATCACCAACTGAGTGCTGATTGGTCGATAACCCGGTAGGATGCTGCCATCACCAACTGAGTGCTGATTGGTCGATAACCCGGTAGGATGCATCACCAACTGAGTGCTGATTGGTCGATATAAATGTGAGTCTGGCTTCATGCACAGCTAGTGTGGTCGGAATCTTTATTTGTGTTCGATTCCCTGCCGGGTGATAATTTTTATTTAGCTCCTTAAAGGGCGGTTGGCACGTTGTTTAGTGGTTTACAGCTAGGCTGCGATATCTGCACCTTTCGTAACAACACATCCGATTTCAGCAAAGTCCTAATTAGTCACTTTTTACAACATGCTTTTTAGGTGGCAGTGGATCTATTCTTATTTTTCCCCCTCAAATATGTGGCCCTGAAACACACAAAGGGGGGGGGGGGGGGGTCACATGTAATGTGAACAATGGATCAAAAAACTATTCCTATCCACGACGCTTTAATGGATTAAAAACTACTCCTCCCCACACCTCTTAAACAATGGGTCTTTATCTATCCCCCTCCTCCCCCCCCCCCCCCCCCCCACAACGCTTAAACAGTGGATCAAAATCTTTTCCTCACCACGCCGCTTAAATGGATCAAAAACTATTCCTAACAACTGCACAAGCTTAACGTCTAAAAATTGCTATTCATCGAGCAAATACGGCAGAAGTGGAAACTGATGATGATGGCCTCAATGTTTTTAATACATACCTCTTGAGGCTCTCAAAGGGATGTTTTTCGCATTGAATAATTTGGGACCAGTATTCGAAAGAGTGCCTGAATGTCATTTCATTGTCTGCCTGCTTACCTGAGAGGAGTATGAATGTTATTTCATTGTGTGCCTGCTTACCTGAGAGGAGTATGAATGTTATTTAATTGTGTGCCTGCTTACCTGAGAGGAGTATGAATGTTATTTCATTGTGTGCCTGCTTACCTGAGAGGAGTATGAATGTTATTTCATTGTGTGCCTGCTTACCTGAGAGGAGTATGAATGTCATTTCATTGTGTATCTGCTTACCTGAGAGGAGCTTGAATTTCATTTCATTGTCTGTCTGCTTACCTGAGAGGAGTATGAATGTCATTTCATTGTGTGCTTGCTTACCTGAGAGGAGAAGACAACCAAATCTGTTTATTTGGCATCTGCTTATTGATTACATAAGTGCCCTCAACGCTGCCAAGATGTACTGTCAGGACCCCATTCTGTCAACAAAAATTAAACAAAATAAAGAAAACAAGTTAGCTGTATATCCTTTACAGCCACGCCCTTCAATCTGACAGCCATCAAAAATGGCCGCCAAATCATAAGGTGGCTATAATGGAAATTAAAACGGAGAAATAAAATGGATGGTACTGCAGTGCTTCATTTCTCCATTCAAGCAAATCAGACATTTTAAAGTGGTAGCATTAGCTAATAACTGTAGTTGTATAGTATTATATATGTAATAAATACAATGCAATGTACATTTAATTTTCTTCTTAGCCATCAGCTGTTCTGTGACATATTTCACATATTTTCCTGGAATGCAGGTGCAGAAAAAAACAAATCTGAAGAACACTGCTACATAGGATATCGCCCACCAACCCTAGCATTTGTTGTTTGCTTGTGGTTTTAGCAGGCAATTTCACGGTTTATCACTGCCTCATAATTGGGCAATGCTCATAGCATTTTTAAGATCAGCACAAAGTTAACTGCTGCCAAATCATCTGCTGCGGGCCGGTATGTCACAATTATGAAAATGCACCCATAACCCCTACTCCGCAGATGTTGACATATAATAAAGAAAACAGAAAACAAAGAACAGAATGCAATAAGCCCATTGTGTGGTCATTTTTTTAGAACACAAATATTTTCTAATTACTTTGTAGGTAATGAATATACTAATATGAATTAGTATATCCAGCAACACATGTGTATTTTACTTATTCTTGATAGTCCTTTGTGTCACTCTTAAAAAGAATATTCAGAAAAATATTTATGTATATTTACTGATTAAATATGCAAACAACAGGGAATGGAGAGTGAGAAGCAACAACCAAATTCATAATCTGTTTAAATGACCACTGATCACTAGCATCATCAAGGCTAATAGAAGGAAGAGGCTAGGGGCATTGAGAGAATGTCAGATGACAGAGAGGTAAAAACGTGATATAGATTTCAGCACGCCAGCGCTTATATCACTCCAAAAACATGGAGAAACTGGGTCTAACACAACTCCCCTAGAGAGTGCTGCAACCTACAACACAGGCATTCTCTTTCTCTGAATAAAAACGTAAAGGCAAGACATCACAGAAACAAACACAGAGCCGGACACACCTGTAACCTTCAGGAAAGTCGACCAGCCCAACAAACTTGTGAATGAAAAGTGACCTACATTTGAGGAGACAAGCGTGAAACTAACCTCATCTTATTTTCCTCTTCTGTCACTACCATCTGTATTTACCACTTTTTAGGGCAGAATAGGACAGGGAAGACTTGAGCCAGAGGAATTAGGACACATTCGCCATGAGCAGTGCAGGTTAAGAGTTTATTTTTCTCCCCGAAAAAATGCATCTTGTCTCCAACAGAAAAATTCCGCCACCTTCTCAAGGACTCACACAGGTGTCTCCAGAATCAGAGTCCAGTGTGCTTAACCTCAACTTCAAATAACATGCCTAAGGTATGTGGATTGTTCTTGTCTAAGGTAGATAACCAAGAACTAGCTATTTTCAACACAAACGAGACTGGAAACTTCTACTAACAAATACATACCCCATAAGCACAGTCATAATCATCATTGCATGGTTCAATTTCAGGTAAATCCTCAAAAAATTCAGTCAACGAATCAAGGGTGTCCTCAACACAGATCTCATATTCTGTATCCGTTATTTCACTTGGTCTAAAATATTTTAAAAATGTAAAAATATTACATTGGTTATTTCTTTAAATAACCCAAGCAAATAAAAACCGCCATTGTTTAACCCTTCTAATGGACTATATCTTCTGCATTCATGTACAACCTTAAAAGGCTGCAATATCTGTGCCTTTTGGCCTAACATATTCAATTTCAGCAGACTCCAAATCAGTCGTCTTTTATTACATGTTTTTTAGACGGTGGTGGCTCTATTATTTGTTTGCCCCTAGAGGAGGGCCCAGCCTTTTAATTTCCCAAACAACCACCAAGAAAATAACATTGTCAGAGACAAAATGCTTCAGCTACTTGTTAACTAACAAATGAAAGAATCTCTTCTGTTATCATGGCATTTAACACCATTGCTAGTGCAGGCTGGTTAGTTTTTCATGAGAAGTTTGCCGCTTGCCTAAACAGTTTATCAATGAGGGTTGTGCTTTAAATGTTTCATGTTGTCTCAGATGGGCCAAAAATTCCATATATGTCTCTTGCTCTAGACAAATAAAACTACACAATTAGACAAGTGTGCAAGTTTCATAAGTTTGGGCGAGGAGAGGAGTGGGTCAAAGTGGCCCAGCAAGAATCACACTTGTGTAGAGTTCTGATTACATTGGGCTGTGACCGCAGGGACTGGCCAGCTGGGTGCTGCAGAAAAAGTTCAACAAATGATTCTTGACAATTCCCTCCCAGGTGATGCCATTATCTATACAGATGGCTCTCTGTTGAGAGATGCAGATGTAGTTCATGGGGGTTCTTAGCAAAAGATAATGGACATTGATTAGTGCAACACAGCCTAGCATATTACACAACAACATCCAGTCTGAGAATGGAGGTGAAGGCAGTCACTGCAACCTTCTGCTGGTTAGAGAATTAGATGTACCCACATGTCGCAATTGTAACAGACTCGCAGAGAATGCTGAGAAAGGTGGAAACAGGCCTGCTGTTTGAAGAGTGGCAAGCACTGCTTCAGAGGTCCTGGGTAGTTTGCTTCCTGTTGTTATTTCCTCCAGTCATACCAATGTATTGGGAAATGAACAGGCAGACTGGCTGGTTCTGCACAACTTGGTGGTGAACTAATGCATGACAAGACTGATGTTGTAAAGGTCCTTTGGAGGCGAGTGAACAGAGTGGAGGCACAGATGGATCATCACAGTCTGAGGAGAATGCTCTGTGTTTGGAGTGACCAGGTGATATGGCCGACAGTCAACACTCAGGGGAAATGAGAGACGCATTCACAATCAGACTGCTTCTGGTACCATCTGGAACTCTGTGCTTGCTGCTAAAGATGGGGACAGAGCGCTTAAGGGAATGTCTCGAGTGCTGTGATGTTGTTTCTCAATTAAACATAAACACAGGCCGACAGACTGGCTGGCTCTGCACAACTTGGTGGAATAGAGATGCATGATAAGGCAGACAATGTTAGGGTCATGTGGGATAGAGTGTACAATTCCGAGGAGCAAATGGATCATCAAAGTCTGGTGAGATTGATGCAGTGGGGAGTGATGAGGGGTTCTGGCCGATGCTCAATGCTCACAGGAAAGGCAAGACGGATGTTTAATCAGTATGCTACTGGCACCATTAGTATTGGAACTCTGCACTGGCTGCTGAAGATGGGGTCGGAGCGCTTATGGGAATGCTCCGAGTGCTGTGATTCAACTCAACTAAACATAAACAAACATAAAAAAAAACAAAATGCAAAATTTGCAGCAACGATCAGAAGAGATTAAATCAGCAATGAAGACAGAAAAACAGAACCACTGCTTGTGCAGTGGCTTGTACACTAGATGCCATAACATAAAAGGCGTGGCATCAGGGACCAAGACGGGACCCAGCTATGCCTGCCTCTTCATGGGGCACCTCGAGCACCAGATATGTCATGCATATACCGGTAGGATCCCTGAGCTCTACAGGAGGTATATCGATGATTGCATCGGTGTCACCGATATGCCACTACAGGAACTGCAGAACTTAATTCATTTTTTTCTCTAACTTTCATCCGATGCACTTCTAGCATCTCACCTTTGTCAGTGCATTTTCTGGATCTCACCGTCACCGTGAATATAGGCCTTAGCACCTCGGTGTACTACAAGCCTACTGATTCACACGCTTTTCTTCTCTACATGTCCTCCCATCCCTCTTCTTTTCTTACAAGGACTCAATTCCATTCTCCCAACTTCTACACCTCCACAGACTATGCCAGGAGAATGACAACTTTCACAACAAGGCCCTGGAAATGCTGGACTTCTTCCGGCTTCGAGTGTATCCTGTACATGTCCTATTTGCCGCCTTTCACCGGGCACGGTTTTTCCATCGTGCCGAGGCTCTCACTTCCAAACCGAAACGTCACAACACACCTATCATCACACTTACCTACCACCCTCACTACATCCGCGCCAAAAATATTTTCCTCACGCATCTCTCTTTCCTTAAAGCCGACCCTGCCACCAGCACGGTTTTATCTGAACCTCTTTTAGTGGCCTATGGGCATGATCGTAACCTCAAGGATATTCTGTTCAAGAGTCGGCTACATTCCGCAGCTGAGCCCCACTTCGGCATGGTCTCTTGCCACAGACCTGTATGCAGGACCTGTCCATATGTGGTCCAGATGGCTAGTCTAGAATTCCCTAACGCCACCTTCCACATACGTGAAGCATTCTATTGTACCAGCCGCAATGTTATTTATGCCATCAACTGCAAGAGATGTGGCATGAAATACATTGGTGAAACAGGTCTACGGCTGGCTGACAGGTGCAGACATCTTTTGGATGTGCAAAATGGTGCTCTGAAAACATTACTGTTGTACTTCAATTCTCAGGATTACCAAGATGTCCTCGACATGGAGGTGACAACCATTAAATCCAGCCATTCCAGCGACATTGTATACTCTGGGGACTTTAACACCCTTCGGACAAAATTGCCAACAAAGTTTCATTTAAACTCCCAGGGGACTGAACTGCCCTCAGAGTTTTATCTCTAACCCCCTAGTTATGGCCCCTGGTACTCCACAGGGGGTATTTATTCCCCCAGCTGACCAGTGTAGGCATTCTGCTAAGAAACAACCGACCCGGCTGCTTAGAGATACCAACTAAGGGATTTTGTGTATTTGCGCAGTATTGTTTGATTTGTATGTGCTGATCAAGGCTCCATAGCCGCAACGTTCACGTTCTGTTTGTATTTGTTATATTGTGAAGCTTGCAAATAAACTTTTCATTCGGTTTTACATCTTTTCTTAACATAAAAGGCATAAGCAAATGCTGCTGCACCAGTAAAAAAGGACATGAAGAAGAAGTCGAACAGATGTTAAAAAATATAGAACTTACTTTAATGCAGGAGAATTAAATTCCCTTGACAAACAAGGTGCCATTGAATGGAAAAACTCGGCTGATCCATGAGAAAGTTTGGTGCTCACACAGCAAATTCTGTCCTTTTTGGTGCAAGCACTTTTGTACCACACAGGAATTTGTTGTGAATACTGTGGATAAAAGTAAATAACAAATTAATAATACTTTAAAGAGAAATCACTCCTGTAACTATCAGAAACAAAAAGAATTAAACTGGATACATATTTTAAATACACCTGGCAAGATATAAAAAGTTATTGATATATAAAACTCCCTATGTGGGTTTCTGGGCCCCCTTTTAATGGAAAAAAGAAAATTCCACCACTTCCTGATAAGCATGCTGTAAAAGGTGACTTATTAGGGGTGTTTCCTTCAGATTCAGAGTGCACCAAAAAAAGGGATTTGCACACAATATTGGCACCAGAGAGGCAATCAATCAATCAGTTACTGTCTCCACAATAAAGGTTGGCTACAATGGATCTCCAACAGACTCTGTCTCTTCTCTTGGTTGTAAACTCTCTCAGACTGAAAAAAATGTATCCTCCACGCCGATCACGCTAGAACTAGGGATTAGATGGCTGGGACTCACAAGCAAAGCTGTAGGAGATGCGGAAGCTGCTGCTCGTGAGTCCCAGCCATCTAGTTTAGTCCCAATCCACGCTGCGTGAGCGGCGTGGGAGATACTCTCGGTGGTGGCGGTAGTCGCCAGAAAACCGCAAATTAGGTCGCTGGAAGTGCGCAACTGACACGTGACTGAGGCCCTGTTAGGGTGTTTGGCTATCCTCCGACTAACGGTCGGCAAAGATGGCGGCTGCAAAATATCCTTTCGAGCCAGAGTCACATGTCAATTGTGCACTAGCGGTCACGAGCATACCGCGGCTGCTGCTCGTGGGTCCTAGCCATCTAGTTTAGCCCCATTCCACCCCACGTGGCGATAGTCGCAGGAAAACGCAAATTAAGTCACTTTGGCTCGAAAGGATATTTTGCGGCCGCCATCTTTGCCGACCGTTAGAGGATAGCCGGGTGTTTTTGCGACCGCCATAATATGTGCCCGTTATTCGGAGGATATTCTATATATATATATATATATATATATATATATATATATATATATATATATATATATATATATATATATATATATATATATATATATTACAATCTTAAAAATAGCGCAGGACAAGAACAATATCTTGACAAACTGTCTAATAAATAATAAATGAAATGACCTGGTCCTGGTCCACATGATGAGGGCAAGCAACAAAACTGAAGTGTCTTGTGGCTCGGCTGTGCTGGCGGATCAGGCAATCTATTCGCAGCCGTGAAAGCAAGCTGAGCTGCAGAACGCTCATATTTTCATAAAGTTATTAATTAACTTTGCAAAACTTGCAACCGATTAACTTTGCAAAACTTGCAACCGATTAACTCTGCTCAACTTGCAAACAATAAACTTGGCAAAACGTGCACGATGTTCCTGCAGAGAGGTTTCATGTAGTGGAAGAGCGCAGTTGTCGACAAGGTTGTTGTTGTTTATCAGAGTTCTTGGGGCGAACTCTTCTCGGAGTGAGATTCATACAGTCCCCCAAGAACCTGCTGGAGTGCAGGCAGGTCATGGCAAGATGAGGGTGACCCCTATCAAGCTCTAGA